AGTCCAAGTTACACGTAGAACAACATCCTAGCTAATAGTACATTCAATACACAGTCAAATTAACAAGTTACACGTAGAACAACATCCTAACTAATAGTACATTCAATACACAGTCAAATTAACAAGTTACACGTAGAACAACATCCTAACTAATAGTACATTCAATACACAGTCAAATTAACAAGTTACACGTAGAACAACATCCTAGCTAATAGTACATTCAATACATACTCAAATTAACAAGTCACACGTAGAACAACATCCTAGCTAATAGTACATTCAATACACACACAAATTAACAAGTCACACGTAGAACAACATCCTAGCTAATAGTACATTCAATACACACACAAATTAACAAGTTACCAGTAGAACAACATCCTAGCTAATAGTACATTCAATACACACACAAATTAACAAGTTACCAGTAGAACAACATCCTAGCTAATAGTACATTCAATACACAGTCAAATTAACAAGTTACCAGTAGAACAACATCCTAGCTAATAGTACATTCAATACACAGTCAAATTAACAAGTTACAAGTAGAACAACATTCTAGCTAATAGTACATCCAATACACACACAAATTAACAAGTTACCAGTAGGACAACATCCTAGCTAATAGTACATTCAATACATACTCAAATTAACAAGTCACACGTAGAACAACATTCTAGCTAATAGTACATCCAATATACACTCAAATTAACAAGTTACAAAATACAAGAATATTTCTTAACCGAGCTCAGTCATGTACATTTGAATATCCTGATGGAAATCTGCCCGTAAAATGTGTACTAGTCTCCTTCCCGAAGTTGACCCTTATTGTTACGAAAAAGAAAACTCAATTTTAGACAAACGTTTCTTGAATTAACAGTTTTTTTCTCCACGGGTCCTGATCATTCTAGTGACCATTCCAAATCAACGGAACATGACGTATTTAGGTGGTAATTCTAATACGATAACATTGTTAAAACATATATCAGAAAGGGTAATTTTGAAGATACATTTAGTTTTGATGTAAGACTACTTGATTATTACGTATTAACATGTATAATATTAATTCTCATCCTGTAATACAGTCGTAATATTAACACCAAAAACACAATTCTAAAAGTGAACAACACACTAGGTACCAGTCTGGCTCTTAACCATTTTTTTTTAATTATTTTCCTACGACTGCGAGACTGGTATGTCAATAGATTAATTATCTAGAGGTCAGAACAAGATTAAACCGATTGATTTTGGTTATCATCCAAAAACACGAGTAGATTTTATTAAACTGTTCACTACATGTCCGCCACGTGATGTATTTAGTACCAGCACACAATGTCAAAAGTAGCACGTGAATTTTGAAAGAATTGTACGATTCCGTCTAGTTAAGACTCTCAAAGGTGCACCTAAATGAACGAATTAGGAGTTTGTGATGTCAAACGAAGGTCGGCGACGGTAGCATAGCAACTGCGAAGAATGGTCAAGATTTTTTGTCTGCTTGGGCCATGTGCTACTAGATCAGAAATAGGAGCTTTCATTCAGTAGAGTTCAGGCCAATTTTCATTAAGATCTTAGTTTGCACGTAACTGTGTAACTAGTTAGCAGTTAGTGTCGTTATTATAGTCACGAGCTAACAACTCACGTGTTGAAGACAACAGTAACGCCAGTTTCAAACTTAGCATTAAGTTTTATTGGATAACTGACCGAGAAATGTCTTTCCTGTCAGGTGCGTTTCTTTGACTTGTTTCTCTGAAACTGACACATCCTTTCCGACACTTAAACACGGCGCAGCTGCGAGTATATACATAGTTTTCATTTCTCGGATCCATGGAAATTGGTTTATTTGTAAATCGACATCGGCAGTCGCATTGCAATCAGAAAACAAAGGAAATTAACTTGATATACTCTAGAACTTTACACCAAGATTTGAAAGTTTATAATTTTTTATATATAATAATAACTTCCAATCAGAGTAAGCTATGTACTTAGAGCGAAACCAACAATCAACCTGGTAATTAGTGTAAAGGCTGGTAAAACCAATAACGATCAACGTTAAAATAAAGAATTATTCCGGAATTCATATATTCCTGAGAAAGTGTTCCGAGACCATGTAGATAACTTCTATCGAAAGGCTTAGAATAGCTCTATCACTCAACAGAACCCGGATGTTGAAAACTATCATAGAACATTTAGATTTTCAATTACCAAACACAGAACCCGGATGTTGCGACTCAACATGTAGAATAATTCTATTCTGCATTATTTTACATATAAGAGGATATTGAAGTATATCATAGAGAAGTTAGGTTCTACAGTGTTCAACATACAACCTAGGTTAATAATGGCTGGAGACGGCTTGAATGGGTAATGAAGAAAAACTTTAATATAAGTTTAACATAACAGCAAATGTACAACGTTTCGACAAGGATTATTCATACCTGATGATGACAAAACCTTGTCGAAACGTTGTACATTTGCTGTTA